AATTCATTTCAGTTAAACTTTTCTCTTTGATGCTGTTCATTTATGGAGCCACAGCCATAGCGTATCTTGCAGGCTAAACATTAAGCAGAAACGTGATATGTGTGTGGATCAATAATGGGTTGGCTCTTTAGCATGGAGCAACATTAGAATTGTATTAAATTACATGTTAATGGAAAAATAAAGCAGGCAATAATAGGATGACAACTTAGGCTGCTATACAGTCTAGATTATAGAATACGGTCATGCTGTTTACTAGCTGAACCCTGAATTTCCTTTGAAAACTTGCTTTTAACTGTGTTAAAATGTAATGGAACCTGAAATATCCCTTCCTAATATTTCAAGTTCTCTGGTTACAGTTTGGCCATTGAGATGGGCAGGCGCTGTGTAGCTCTTATGGAATGGCCACCCCCACCGCGCCCCCCGAGGCCAATGTGCGGCTCACACTGGACGGAGCGAGGCTGTGCCGGGGGGTGAAGGGCCCCTAGGCCCGGAATCGCAGACCCTGTGCTGTGAACATGCAGGGGAGACCCCGTGCTGCCCCCAGGAGACCGTGCCCGGCCTCACCCCCACCCTGGCGTCCTTGGGAAAGTTGTTTTCTCTCCTGCCATCAGGCACTCCCCGGTAGACCTCTCACCCCACCCCCCCAAGTTCCTGGGATCGGGGAAGCTCAGTCCTCTTCTTATCACTTGTCCCCTCGTCTGGACCAGCCTGACAGGTGGCAGCTCTGGAGCCTGGGGCGGGGCCTGGGAGCCCACACTGGTGTTGGCCAGCGTGGTGGTACCAGACGCTCAGTGAGGCCAAGCGCGTGGAGAGGCCCGAGTCACGAGAGACAGGTTACTGATGGGAGGCCCCAGCCGAGACCACGGCATCTCAGATCCCTGTTCCTGGCCGGCCTGGGCGTGAGAGCATGGGGGGACGCTGCAGGAGCCTCAGACCTCGACCTCTGGCTGGTCTGGGGTGTGAGCATGTAGTCACCACCCTCCACCCAGGCAGGGTTCTTGTTTTCTGCAGAACAGCCCCAAGATATGTGTCAGATGGCACGTCCATCCCTGAGGAGCAACCAGGACCCTCTGTTATTGCTGCGCTGGTGTTGCATCCCTCGTCTCGTTTCTTCAGGACATTTTCCTTTTTTCTGCAATTCCCTCACTTCCCCAGCTAGAAACTGCTGACTCTGCTCTTTGAGCCTCGGGGAAACCTGGAGACTAAAGGCTTTTCTCCAAGCTGAGAATGAGGCATGTGGCGGGGCATGTGCCTGGGCTCCGCAGGGTCCTGCCTCGTTTCCACAGGCATTGTTGCTCCGGTACCTGGCAGGTGGCGATGCTTCTCCTGCGGGGTCATCGAGAAAACTGGGTCAGTGACCATCAGGGAGACGCCTCGCGTCTGTCTGCTTTCTTCCCTGTTTCCCGTGGTGGCCCGAGGGGCACCTTTGGGGCCAGGGTGGGTGGCTCTGTGAGCTAGGGTCCTTGCCTCGCGAGGTGGCTCCGGGGCAGGTCTGTGAGTGAAGAAAGCAGGATGCATTTGGTGGAGGGGGACAGGGCCCCCAGTCCTGGGAGGGGTGCTGGACCCCGAGGCAGGGTCAGGCTCAGTCAGCTTCCTTCCTGAGAGCGTGAGGCCCTTGGCGCTGACAGGGGGCCCTTCTTGTCCCCATCCGCACACGCACACAGGGGTCCCAGGCTCATCTGAGCCAAGGCGGGTGGTGCTGACCCTGGGTCTCAGACAAGAAGCATCGCAGCCCGGGGGGCAGGCCATGGAGAGGACCCGCGAGAGCAGCTGCCAGCGTGACACGGCGCAGAATGCTCCCGGAGGCTGAGAGACAAGCCAGCAGTGCGGGGCGCCGGGCTTACCCGCTCTCCTTGGGGCTCGGAGCCTCTGCTGGGCCTGGCACAGGCTGGGGCCGGCCAGTGGCCTCCCAGGGCCCGCCACCCCTTCTGTGTTCCCTGCATGTGCACATTGTGTCAGGGAGTATGCTTTACAGATGCTTGTCATGTGTGCACATTATACACTCTAACAGGATCTATTCCCTGTGTATACTGTATCCTTACTAGATACTGTATGTGTATTATATATGAATATATGCATTATGTATACATGTTATGTGCCCATTATACATGGTAATAGAATCTATTCCCTATGTGTATCATATGCATGTTAGTTGCTCAGTCATGTCTGACTCTTTGTAACCTCATGGTCTATAGCCGGCCAGGTTCCTCTGTCCATGGAATTCTCCAGGCAAGAATACTGCAGTAGGTTGCATACCCTGCTCCAGAGGATCTTCCCAACCCAGAGATCAAACCCACGTCTCCTGCATTGCAGGTGAATTCTTTACCACTGAGCCACCAGGGAAGCCCCATATATATGCATACTATATACTGTATATGCATATTATATATATGCATTACATATACATGTTATGTGTGCATATTATACACAATCATAGACTCTATTTCCTGTGTATACATATTTATATTATATATATAGTATACTGTAATAGAGCCTTATTTCTGCATATAATATATGCATATTATAAATGAATATATGTATTACCTATACATACTACTTGTGTAAAGAGCCTCTTGATGAAAGTGAAAGAGGAGATTGAAAAACTTGGCTTAAAGCTCAAGATTCAGAAAACTAAGATCATGGCATCCAGTCCCATTATTTCATGGCAAATAGATGCGGAAACAGTGGAAACAGTGGCTGACTTTATTTTTCTGGGCTCCAAAATCACTGTAGATGGTAATCGCAGCCATGAAATTAAAAGATGCTTACTCCTTGGGAGGAAACTTATGACCAACCTAGACAGCATATTAAAAAGCAGAGACATTACGTTGTCAACAGAGGTCCGTCTAGTCAAGGCTATGGGTTTTCCAGTGGTCATGTATGGATGTGAGAGTTGGACTAGAAAGAAAGCTGAGCGCCAAAGAATTGATGCTTTTGAACTGTGGTGTTGGAGAAGACTCTTGAGAGTCCCTTGGACTGAAAGGAGATCCAACCAGTCCATCCTAAAGGAGATTGGCCCTGGGTGTTCATTGGAAGTACTGATGCTGAAGCTGAAACTCCAGTACTTTGGCCACCTGATGCGAAGAGCTGACTCATTGGAAAAGACCCTGATGCTGGAAAAGATTGAGGGCAGGAAGAGAAGGGGACGACAGAGGATGAGTTGGTTAGATGGCATCACCGACTCAATGGACATGGGTTTGGGTAGACTCCGGGAGTTGGTGATGGACAGGGAGACCTGGTGTGCTGCAGTTCATGGGGTCGCAAAGAGTCGGACACAACTGAGCAACTGAACTGAGCTGAACTACTTGTGTATGTTATATACTGTAATAGAATTGGTTTCCTCTACATATTTGTTATTGTTGTTCAGTTACTTAGTTGTGTCCAGCTCTCCATGACGCTATGGGCTGCAGCATGCCTGTACATATTAGGGTCTGTATTTTCTGTATGTATTACATTATATATCATATATGCATACTATGTACTATTGTGACCCATTGGGCTGTAGCTCTCCGGGCTCCTCTGTCCATTGGATTTTTCAGGCAAGAATAATGGAGTAGGTTGCCATGCCCTCCAGGGGATCTTCCCAACCCAGGGATCAGACCCACGTCACCTGTGTCTCCTGCATTGCAGGCAAATTTCTTTACCTGCTGAGCTATTGAGGAAGCTATATATGTGTGTGTATGTGTGTACTATATACTATAATGGGCTTCCCTGGTGGCTCAGATGGTAAAGAATCCGTTTGCAATGTGGGAGACCTGGGTTTGATCCCTTGGTCGGGAAGGTCGCCTGGAGGAGGGCATGGCAACCCACTCTAGTATTCTTGCCTGGAGAATCCCCATGGACAGAAGAGCCTGGCAGGTTACAGTCAATGGGGTTGCAAGGAGTTGGGCATGACGAGTGGCTAAGCACTGCACAGCACACATATACTATAAAGTCTGTATTTACTGTACATATTATATTAAATGCATACTGTGTACTGTATACATATTATGTGTGAATGTATGCATTATGTGTAAACATTACATATGCACATAGTGTGCTGTGTTAGAGTCTGTATCTCCTGCACTTCTCTGATGGCCAGCTGCAAGCAATAAAAGCATAAACGCTAGGACAGCAGGAAGTAGATGTAGAGCGAGGGGCAAAGCCTGGAGCCCAGTAAACCTGAACTTCATAAATGCTGAGAGTTGAAAATGGTAACAACCACAATCATGGTAACGTAGCTGGAGTAACCATTGCATGCCCTCCTCCTGGACCTCCAAGGTTGAGGACACGGAAGCCCACCTAGAGCACCTGCACAGAGGGAGCAGAACCTAACCAGTCATGTCCAGAGGCCCTGTTCCAACCACTGGGCTGAGCAGCCTTCCCCCTGGCAAACCCAGCATCCTGCAGAGGTCAGATCTGGTGGTTCGAGGGTCTCTGTACAGTAGCACCACTCACAAAATGAAATCTTTTTTTCTGACTAGGATCGTGTAGCTCAAAATCAACAGGGCATCACAGCTTCATCCTCACATTGACTTGGACGGTGGCCTTGAGAAGGTCCCCTCTGCTCCTTGCCTTCACAGCCAGCGTGTGGCTTTACGTGGCTCACGGCCAACCCTCTGTGTGGCTCATCAGCCCACCAGCTACATCACTGCTTAAGTAGCAGGTGTTATTCCTCAAACTTCTTAGACTGAACTACAGCACTCAAATGTAGTCAGTGTAACTCTTTTCCCCCAAACTGCTTGCTTAACACCACCAAATCTCACTGTCAAGGCCTGATGACCATCTTAGACATGCAGTATTTGTAGTTGCAAAACCACGCTGGGGACACTGGTTACTCTTCTTCATGCTCCTGGACTTTGGAGCTGTCCACGTGGTGTGAAAACACAACCGTTCACTTGAGTGTCCAAATCAGGAGTGGCCCCAGGGTAAAAACAGTTCACGTGTGGACGCGAGTGTCCACACAGGTTTTCCCTCCAAGTCGCTCCACATCTGACCCGGCTTCTGTGTTCTCTCGACAGACCAGCAGTATTCATGGTCCCCGACTCCGCACTTCAATGAAGAGAGGTACTCCCCCGCTCCGAGGACTATGAAGGGCTTATCCGGGAGTCGGAACCCTCCACTGTGCTCCGGGCACACGTGTGGCCTGACGCCGCCCGAGGACTGCGAGCTGGGCCACCTGCACCATGGGCCCGAGGCGCGGCCGCCCTACCTGCTCAGCCCCGCCGACAGCTGCCCGCTGGAGCACCACCGCTGCTCCCCGCGGACCTCCATCCACTCCGACTGCGTGATGCTGCCCGTGGTGCTGGGCGACCACGTGTCCAGCAGCACCTTCCCCCGCATGCACTACAGCTCCCACTATGACAGCAGGGACGACTGCGCCGTGGCCCACGCGGGCGCCAAGATCAACCGCATCCCGGCCAACCTGCTGGACCAGTTCGAGAAGCAGCTGCCGCTGCACCGGGACGGCTTCCACACGCTGCAGTACCAGCGCGCCTCCGCGGCCGCCGAGCAGCGCAGCGAGAGCCCCGGCCGCATCCGGCACCTGGTGCACTCCGTGCAGAAGCTCTTCACCAAGTCCCACTCCCTGGAGGGCTCGTCCAAGGGCCACGTCAACGGCACCAGGGCCGACGGCAGGGCGGACGAGCACGCGCACGGCCACCACGCCAAGCACGGCCGGCGGAGCAAGAGCCGCGAGCGCAAGGCGGAGGGCCGGCCGCGCGGGGGCCCGGGCAGCTGGTGGGGCTCGGACGACAACCTGGACAGCGACAGCACCTGCCGCGCCTCCAGCGCGCTCGGCCGGCCCCACGCCGAGCCCGCGGCCCGCTGCTACCCCGACGCGCTGCCCGGCCCCTTCGGGGACCTCTCACTGCGGACCTCCAAGAGCAACAACGACGTCAAGTGCTCGGCCTGCGAGGGCCTGGCCCTGACGCCCGACGCCAAGTACATGAAGCGCAGCTCCTGGTCCACGCTCACCGTGAGCCAGGCCAAGGAGGCCTACCGCAAGAGCTCTCTGCACCTGGACAAGCCGCCCGGGCCCCCGGAGCTGAAGCCACCGCTGCGGCCCTGCCACTACCTGCAGGTGAGGGCTGGGTCCCGGTTCTGCAGTAGAGGGGGGCATCCAGCCTCTGCAGGTCAGGGGGACGTCCCAGACTCTGCAGGTCAGAGGGGTGTCCCAGCTCCGCAGGTCAGGGGGGCATCCCGGCTCTGCAGGTGAGGGGGTCGTCCCGACTCTGCAGGCTACTGGTGGGACCATCCCAGGAGGACCTGGAGTGTGGCGGGCCAGCCCCGGGGGCCTCTGAGGCTGCAGGATCCAGTGATGGCCACGACATGTGCACCCACAGCAACGTTTCCCCATCTGAAAGCGGCCAGTGGGGCCCAGGAGTGAGTTTGCATGAGCTCATCAGCCTTCCCCACGCCAGCAGCTTTACGCCTGGGATACGTCAGGGAGCCTGGTTATAGGAACCGAATCTGTTCTCTGGGGTGTGGGTGAAACACACCACAGGCAACAACAGGCACACAGTGGGCGTGGAGGCCGTGACGTGCGGGACCCTCTGCTGGGCCTCCCTGTCCTCTTGGCTGCTAACCGCACGTGCCCAAGTGAGAGGGAGCCCAGTGCTGAGAGGCCCCTCTTCTTTCAGGAGGCGTCTGCAGTTACTTCTCTCGGCCAACAGCGCTGTTAGCAAAGCCCTGAAACCTGAAGTTTCCTTCAGGGCACATGTAATTTGCATTCAAATCCACCCTTCAGTGGGTGACGCGGGCTGTGCACGGGATTGGAGAGACCCTCTTGGAATCCTGAGTAGGAGAGACCCTCTTGGAATCCTGAGTAACCGTCTGATCACCAGCGTCTGATTGCTGGCTGAGGCATTAGGCAGTCAGTTAACCAGGCAGATAAGCAACTGCGATTCTTCTCAGGCATCAGATGGCTGCGAATTGCATTAGCAATTCCAACTGCCACCTGGAGCATGGTCCATGACCAGTGGATCTGGTTTAAAAGGAAAATCTGCTCATCAGATTGCTTTCATAGGCAGATTTATTCAAAGAGACAGATGGATTTAAATAGCAATATTTAAACAATATTGCTTATTATTATCTTTTATTAAAATAGTAATATTTGATTAACAGTAATTAAAATATTAATATTTAAGAGACTTAAATTTTACTTGTAGTTACTTGCTAAATGCCCCCTTGCATGCTCGGTTGTGTCCGACTCTCTGTGACCCGGTGGACTGTAGCCCACCAGGTTCCTCTCTCCTTGGAATTCTCCAGGCAAGGATACTGGAATGGATTGCCATGCCCTCCTCCAAGGGATCTTCCCAACCCAGGGATCGAACCCAGGTCTCCCTCTTTGCAGGCAGGTTCTTTACCACTGAGGCACCAGGGAAGTCCTTGCTAATGCATAAATAGGAAGTTTTTGCCCGAACGTCTGTAAAGGACTGTGATAATCACAGGAGATGTGAGACTTGGAGCGCCCCAGGCCCCGCCCCTCCCCAGACTGCTGGTGTCCGGGGAGCTGGGAGCCCCAGCCCTCCCGCAGACTCCTGCTGACTGCACTGCACTTCCTGGGGATCCTCCCCGGCCAGATCAGAGGCAGGGGAGTGGAAGAGTTTGTCTGTAGCTGCTGCTGTAGGAACAAGATTTAAAAGAACAGAGGGGAGAAATAAATGCTCACAGGCTCTTTTTATTTTCTCCACCAGAAGCTAGAGAAATTTGGAGCTGAGCAAAAGTGTTGTATTTTATTTTCACCTTTGGTTTGTACAGAGTACATAGTTAGCATTAGAGGAAGTTCTTTTTATGTTTTTAAGTAGGTCAAAGCAGACAACAGAATTGAAAGAAAATTCTGATTCATTTTATTCTTTGAAAGAGCTTGTTTTGGTGTTTCCTCCATTGGCAGACACGGCATCTAAGGTCAGAGTTTTAATGAATGTCACACTGACGGGGTGGGTGACGTGCAGCTGGTCAGCTCAGGGTCGGATGGCCCCCTTGTCACGCCCTGCCCTGGGTTCCAGGGACACAAGGTGGATGATGGCTGCCCGGCCCTGGTGGGAGGACAGAGGGGAGCAGCTGCCTCTGTCACGCCTGGAGCACACTGGGAACACACCGGGAACGTGGGCCTGGGCCCCTCCAGTGCAGCCCCCCCAGCATCACAGCCCAGGACCAGCACCAGCTCTGGTCCCCTTCTCCCGTCCTGGGCCCTGCCTCTCCCCCTGCCTCCTTCACTTTCCGTCCGTCCTTCCTCTCTCTGTTGTTTCTGCACGACTGGTGGTCCAGACCCATGGGGTCCCTCCGGTCTCCCTCCGTGTCTGTGTTGACCGTGCTGCAGTGTCTTGTCTGGGGTCTGCTGGGGGAAGAGCTCCCGCCCTGACACTCTGGGAGCTGTCAGAGGAGATGAGCAGAAGGACATGGAGCCTGAGGGTCACCTCAGGGCATGGAGGCTTCCCCAGGCTGGAAGGGCATTTCAGCCTTGCCCCCAGCACCCAGCCCCTGCCAAGGTCTGCCCATCCCAGCCCCAGGCACACAGCCTGCCCCACCGTCCTTCACAGGAAAGGGCTCCAAACACTGTGGGTCGTGAGCAGCCTGCCCCCGGGTCACTCATGAAGCTGATGAGGCCCCCTTGGCCCCCAGCTCGAGTGCACACAGAAATGCAGCCTACGCCGCCACCTTTCCCAGTGTTCTTCACACAGTGCGTTCTGTGCCGAGGGTGGCGGGCGTGCCAGCCCACGAGTCAGCTCCTCTCTGACTTCCCACTGCGAACGTTCAGTCACACATAGGCCCTGCCATTCTTAACTGGTGAACGAGAATGAAGTAGAATGTTCACCCACACAGTATTACACGTTTCTGTAGTGACTGACAGTTTCCCAAGGGCCTTTCTTACACTCTCAAATCTAACCACAGCGTCTGATGTATACGCGATCAATGAGGCAGAGAGATTTACCAGGCTCACAGCTGGCAAATGCTCAAACCCCAGCATCTGTCGATGAAGAATTTATTTCAGCAACATTTCTCAAACGCCTGCCTGTCACAGGCCCGAGACCAAACCAGCACCTGAGGGAGAGGCAGTGAGTGGTCACAGCCTCCCGGGTCGGTCCACGTGCTGGACACCCGTCACTCCCGTTGGCCCTGCCCCTGTGTGCTGGAATAGGGGGACAGAGTCCGGACAGAGGCAGGGTCACTTCAGACGGGGTGTGGAGGAGTCGGTCTCAGAGCTGACCCACACCCTCAGCTCTTGGTTGGAAGTCAGCCTTTACGTCTGACTGTGTGGGAGCACCCGAGGCCAGAGACCTTTGAAGTACTTGAGGCAGAAACCAGAAGAGGCCCGTTTGGTAAAGATGGATGGTTTTCCTAAACTGCACCTGGAAGGCTGACTGCACGTTATGCTCAGACTTTGCGCTGCATGGATAGGCAGCACCCCAACTCCCACGTCGTTCAAGGCTCAAGCGCACAGGCTTGTGTCCATGTATAAAGCTTCCAAATGCTAATAAAGCAGAGAAATAAAAGGAAGGTCACTTGTAATAAGAACATGAATCTTAATATAAAATCATCTGGGCCCTGACAGACATGTCCAGAGGGAAGTGGAGTGTTCAGGAGCTCGTTCTGGGTGAAGACTTGCTGCTAATCTGGACTGGAGGAGGGAGTCTCAGAGACCCACCTGCAGGCTGCTCTGACCCTCCAGGTGGAGCAGCGCACCACAGTTCCCTCCATCAGTGAGGAAACCAAGAGCACTCTGGTTTACATACAGAAAAGAGCTCAGGAAGGCAAGCCTGTAGTCAAGACTCAGGAAGGCAAACGCTGGGATCGCACAGGACGGGAGCCAGCCCTCCAGGGGGTGGGGTCGCACAAAACAGCAGCCGGTCCTCCAGGGGATGGAGTTGCGTCCTGCTTCGTGGCCCCCGGGGTGCTGGCCACATCCCCCCAGTGTGTGGCATCAAGGCTGCCCCAGACACATGTCCATGCTGCCCTCAAGGGTGCCCCACTCGGACCCGTGGTCTTGCACTGTGACAGCCTGGAACTGGGAAGCCCAGCTGTCTTGCTCTGTTATATTCCCAGGGCAAGTGTGCCTGCCGTGCGTTTAAAACAAAACAACAAAATTTTGGACTGAATGGAGAAGACATGTCCCCACATGGACACCTAGTGTTTGATGGCATTTTCTTCCTTGGTTTCAGCACCTGGAAGAGAATATTACAAAACCCCAGCCCTTGTCCCTTTGCCATGCTGCTTGAAAGGAAGAAAGGACATTTTAATCTGCAGCCTGAAGTCTCCTTCAAGCAACAAGCAGGAGATACTGAAATCTACACTCACCTCGACCTTAGGAAGATTCAGAAACTGTAAATGTCACTCACTAGTATAAGCAAGTAGGAAATTAGAGTAATAATTATCTCTAAATGCAGCACAGATTGCGCATGGATTCGCGGAGGCTGTGGATACCCTGAAAAGAAGTTTATTCGTTCATGAAAGCACTTGATGTTTTGGGGTCCACGCTGGCCGCCCTCACGCCCGCCGCTGCAGGTTTGTGGCCCTGTAGTGTGCTGGAGAAAGCGTTCTTTACTGAGGCACGGTGGCGTTTCCGGGTCACTCCCTGTTCTTTTGACAGTCTGCAGACATATGCTTCGGAATCAGTTGCAACCGCTCTTGACTCTGGTTTACTCTCCTTCTGTATTGAAATCTCGTCTGTCAAAGACTGCAAAATTGGCAGCTTCAATCAGAAACAAAAATATACAAGCTGATCTCATTTGTTAGTTAATTCACAAGCAGCTGGAAAAAAAATCTTTACTTTGTATTTTTTTACAGAAGCATGTTTTTTGATTCACAAAAATTCTATAAGCTGCCAGCGGGAATGCATCTTCCCTGGAACATGGCTCCTCCCCATCCGCCTCCCGCCAGCTTCCTTGGAGCAGCTGCCCAACTGCTGAGCCCCTCATCTCTCCAGGGTGCTGGCGGGGGAGCCAGATCCTCTGTGAGCCTCTCTTGTGCCTTCTGCTCAAGTCCCAGTGAGCTGGAGCCCCCAGCCTCACCTCCAGGAAGCCTTCCCCAATCACTTCCTCTCTGTCGACAGCTTCCTCTGGTCCTTCCCTGTTTGCCCTCTACATCTCCTTCTTTGCCCTAATTAAACCATAATTCACGTTATTTTATGCCTGTCTCCTCTACTGAAATGTATTCTCATTTGGGACTAAATTTTCTTAAATTAAAAAAAATAAGTTTACTTTTTATTAAAATAGTTATTAATATATATATGGTCCATGTAGAAAATTTAGAAAATATAAATATAAAAACAAATCATTGAAAAGCCCACCATTACTGTCTCCCAGTGATAATCACACATCCTTCCGGCTGTGTTTCTATGCATGATACAGCATCTCTGTCTTTCAGGGCTTCCCTGGTGGCTCAGAGGTAAAGAACAGCCCTGCCAATGCAGGAGACAAAGGAGACACAGTTCAATTCTTGGGTCAGGAAGATCCCTGGAGGAGGAAATGGCAACCCACTCCAGTATTCTTGCCTGGGAAATCCCATGGACAGCCTGGTGGGTACAGTCCATGTGGTCTCAAAACATCGGACGCAACTGAACATGCGTGCACACACACACACACTTCTGCCTTTAAAGTATAGAAACATGGTGTCCACACTTTAAACACTGCTCTCCCTCGTGGACATCTCTCCTTGGCTAAATACTAGTTCTGCATATTATCCATGGCATGATTTAGTAGATATGTTCAGCCACCCCATCAGATATTATCAGTTCCCTCCTTTGACCCTAATGATCAGCTCACAGTCCCCGGCACGAATCCTGTTGTCCGGGGACGTTGCTAAGTCAAAGGCACGCACAGATCGAGTCTTCCGACTAGTGGCATAAAGCATGGGCCCGCGTTACTGCTGGGCATGAGGCAGGGGGCAGCCTCTGTCCCACAGCCTTGTCCGTCCTCCAGTTTGTCGGGATTGCTGAAACTGACCCCCGCGAGGAGAGAAGTGAGAGCCTGGAAGCCCAGAGAAGCCCAGACTTCCCTCCTCCTGATCTCTTCTCCCGAGTGCCCCCACTCCTGTAAGCCTGTGTCTGTTTCCCCAGTGCCTGTCTTCCTGGTGTTTCTTCCTCCTGCAGTGTCTCTGGCAGCTCTGCACCGCCGTCTGTGGTCTCGTGCCCACCCGCTCCCCGGGGTCATCATCCCCTTGAAAGCCGCTCGGAGATGGGCACTCAGCACCTGGCTATAGGGAGCTTGGACATGCTGCCCCCAAGCCCTGCTCTGTGGCTGCGGGTCCCTGGGCCACACCACCCTGAGGGTCAGGCCTGTGAGGACCCAGAGTCTCCATCCTGTGAAGCCTCCTCCTCGTCCACGTGAGGCTGGCGTGTCTCCGTGTCTTTCATGGACCCAGCCTGGCCTGGGATGGAGGCTGGTTCCACACAAAGGCTGCAGGGAGGATCTTTGGAGCATCACCATGGGGCCTGGGAGGCTCGGTGCCCACACGCTCACCCTCACTGAGGGGCGCCCGCTCCCTGCGTGTTGGCGGGGGTCCCAGAAGGGGCATCCGTCCTGCCCTGGGCTGCAGTCTGCAAGATGGAAGATGGGGAAAAAGCGCTTTCAGCTGATAACTCTGCCCTTGCGGCCAGCCCTGCGTGTCCCTGGCTGGGACGGTGACGAATGGCCCAGTGGCCCCATCAAAACTAGGGAGATGACAAATGAGCGCATCTACAAAACAAACTCACAGACACAGAGATCAGACTTGCGGTTGCCGAGGGGGGCCGGAGGGGTGGGAAGGACTGGGGGTTTGGGGTTAGCAGATGTAAACTAGGGTATACAGTGTGGGTGAACAGCAGGTCCTACTGGATAGCACAATATCCTGTGATAAACCACAATGGAAAAGAATATGAAAAGCAATGTATACATGTATAACTGAATCACTTTGTTATACAGCAGAAATTAACACAACGTGAATAAAATGAAGTTCAATTAAAAACAAAATTTTTAAAAAACGTGGAAAGATGGCAAGACTCCTTTTAGAATGAACCCACTCCAGTATTCTTGCCTGGAGAATCCCCATGGACAGAGGAGCCTGGCAGGCTCCATGGGGTCCGTGAGGTCGCAAGGAGTCAGACAGGACTGAACGACTAAGCACAGCACAGCCGGAGTGTACTTAAGTCTCTAAACATTAACCGTAGGACAAGCCCGACCTCTGAAGGCTTTGTCAACACGGAACTGCATCGTCCCCTGTCTCCACGAAGAGCATGGTGGGAGATTCCCACTGGGTCCTTGAGTCCTTGGACTACAGAGCTCCGTGCGAGGGCGCCGCACACGTGCACTCACACAGCCGTCTGCACTCGGCCGCTGCCTGGGGTGGTTTCGGTTTTTGTCAGCATCACGGCTGGTGGAGCGTGAAGGGACCGCTCCGCCCTGAGCGCCCACGGTGGAGACACCCCGTGCCGCCTGTGCTGTGTGAGGACCTCGCGTTTCCCGGGGGGCGGGTCCTCCCTCCCGCAGCGCAGCCTGCGCGCGCGCCGCAGGCAGCCCCGGTCTGAGTGGCGGGACCCGGGTCTGGGCGTGGCCTGGGCCCCGGCGTGGGGGCCATGACCCAGTCCTGGGCTCACCCCCGGTGTCAGCTCGCACGGGCCTCAGGGCCTCCTCCTCTGGTTTCCTTCTCCTCCTCCTTTCCTCCTCTCCACACTGGAGGCCTCTTAGTCCAGTTTTCTCAGCGTTCAACTGCCTTCTTGCCACAAGGAAGTAAACCTAAGTGTTAGCAGTGGCTCTTCCAGGTGCTGAGACTACGTTTTTCCCTCATTCTACTTTTCTAACATTTTCTCACTTTTTCCATAACATATATCACTTTTATAACAGGAGGAAAAGCAGTGATTATATGTGAATGTCCTTTTGGGATTTGAGTGACGGACCATGAAGAAGCGTGTGACGTCGGTGCTGAGTGCCGGTGACGAGCCGTGTCTTTGGGGGCCGTGGCCCCGGGAGGCAGCTGGGGCCCTGACGCCCTGTGTGCTCTCCCCAGGTGCCCCAGGACGAGTGGGGAGGGCGCCCCCTGGGGGGCAGAGACGACGAGATCCCCTGCAGGAGGATGAGGAGCGGGAGCTACATCAAAGCCATGGGCGATGAGGACAGCGGGGACTCGGACTCCAGCCCCAAGACGTCCCCCAAGCTGGCCCTCCGGCCGGAGCCCCTGCTCACATCCATCGGACAGAGGCCGCTGGGAGACCTCCAAACGTAAGCCCCCCGCACTTCCCCCGCCCCAGCCCAGGGCTTTCCTCACACGAGCCAGCGGTCAACCCAGAAAAAGCCCAGGATTGAAAGTGTTAGACTCAATGGCCGTCAATTTAAAGTCCTCTGTAAAAAACCTGTCAGACCTTTGGTTACACTTACTGCGTAGTAATTAAGGAAATATACTAGGGCGATTTCTATGTCAGGTGTTAATACTTGAGCACCTGTCATAGCCAGTGACCCATCCGTGTCTTCTCAGATCATTCCAGCTATTTATCAGAAGCATGTTTGTGTGTGTGTGAGACAGCCACAGTGGGGAGTTTTCTGTTTACTGTAACTTTACAGGTGCATATGCAGGCAACAAAGTTTTTGCAAGGTAAGAACAGGAACTGGATTAGTTTTACAAACATCATAGAATATGCTTTATATATTTGTCCAAAGATACATTGTGGGGTTTTTAAAATTGAAATATAGTTGATTTACAATGCTGCGCCAATCTGCTGTATAGCAAAGTAATTTAGTTATACACACGTATACATTCTCTGTTCAAAGTCTTTTCCATTCTGGTTTATCCCAGGATATTGGATACAGTTTCCTGTGCTTTTGTTTATCCAGCCTATCTGTAATAGTTTGCATCCGCTAATCCCAAACTCCCAACCCATCCCCACCCCCCATGCCTCCTGGCAGCCACAAGTCTGTTCTGTGTCTGTAAGTCTGTTTCTGTTTTGCAGATGAATTCATTTGGGTTATTTTAGATTCCACATATAAGTGATATCATATGGTGTTTGTCTTTCTCTTTTTGCCTTACTTCACATAGTATGATAATCTCTAGGTCCATCCATGTTCCTCAAGTGGCATAATTCCATTCTCTTTCATGGCTGAGAAGTGTTCCATTGCATATATGTACCACATCTCCTTTATCCATTCATCTCTGCATGGACAGACAGGATGATTCCAGGTCTTGGCTATTGTGAATAGCTCTGCAATGAACATAGGGGTGCATGCTAAGATACATTGTTGATAAATTTAACTAATTTTGAAAATATAAGCAGAGGAAACTAGAACTTGGCTATCCAGTTGAATGATGAAAACGCGACTGCAGTTCTTAGCTGTCAGCCTGTGTGTGTTTCTGGTCCTTCCAGCTAAGTCTGGATTCACATGCAAAGAAGCACCTGCTTTTGCCACCACGAGCTGTGGCTTCTCTGGTGTGGAGGTTCAACAAGAGGGTGAAACAGCAGGTTGGAGCTCTTCCTGGGGCATGTGCTACATTCTCCGTATATGTATGCAGATTATTCTTTTTGCCCAAATCTGACTCCGCAGTGGAATACATGACAGGGAGCAGGTAGTGCCCTGCCCAGACGGTGCCATGCCTTGTAGGACGACTCTGAAAATTCACAAAGTCCATGAAACTCCCATAGCAAGTTGCTCTTTGTGTTAAGATACAAAATTTCTCTTGAAAATATGTTACTGGGAGGTACATCAACTAAGTTGTTATTGCCTGTTAGGATCTTAGCACATCTTGGGATTTTATAGGTTTCAATATCATTTCACTTATTTTCATCTTAAATGACCTCACAAAAGCTCAGCTCTTTCCCCAGGGAGGTTAAAACTGTGCCCACGTTAGGGAACAAAACCCTGACTCAAAGGGATGAGGTGCCTTGGCCATATAAGGGACCAGGGGTTTGAATGAAAATGGTTATTGTAATCCCACGTTCAGGGAAAGTACTTCACCTGAACAGCAGGAGAGCATGCCAGGGACCACGTGCTTTCTGTGAGAAAGGAGGAGGTGGTTCCAAAGTTGGATTTAAAATATGGCCGTGAGCAGAAAGTCTGGAATTCAGCAGCTCCCCGGGTGTGTTTCCCTCCAGCACCACAGAACTTCACCAGCAGGAGCTGACTGACAGGCGGATTAAGATTCAAATGATAAACATAAGAATTAGCGTCTGCTGACCTCCTTCAGGTTTTTATTCTCCTCTTGGTATGCACAGTTAATTCTATTGACGTTAATAATGGTATTCAGGAAGGCAAATAAAATAGCCAGAAATAGCCTGGTAATTATACTTTAGTTCTAACTGGATGGGTTGAAGATACATTGATATTCTTTTAGCTAAACTATGGCACGGGCGTGCTGACCCCTAGGGGTTTACGCACCTCCTGCCTCACATAAACGCTCCTGTGTGATGGACTTGCCCAGCAAGCCTGCTGTGATCTGCCTGGCTGAGACCTGCTAGGGTCTGGGGCTGCCTGTCGTCAGCCCTTTTGACACATAATATAAGCCCCCTTCTGTGAAGGCTGCTTGAGCTCTGGGAACAGCGGTTGTGTTGAGCAGTGTCTTGTCTTCCTGCTGGTACACCCAGAAAGCAGCCAGTCCTACTGTTCCTAACTAACCATGCTCCCTGAGTACACAGGCAGGGGTTCTCGCTGTCACCATGCGGTGCTCTCTAAGTAGTGCAAGGCGACAGACAGTCTTTTCACTCTGGAAAGAAAGATGAAGCAAAAGCAAATGACCAAAGACTTGCCACACTTGTCTCACTGCCCAGGATTCTCGGGAGCTGTGTTGATGGATCGAGGACAGACTCTGTCCCTCTGTGGGCCAGACCCTGCCCACAGGCAGATGCCACTGAGAACTGTTTTAACTGAAATGTAAATTTCAAGATGCTATGGAATCCAATTTACTAGGTTTTAAATTAGTTTATGTATTAATATATGGAGAGTTCACTTTTTATTATTATGAAAGGTAGACCAACTGATTTAATTTTAGGGTTTTTTTCTGCTTAGTTGAATTGAGAAGTCAAATCTCTAATAAATTTGAACATCTCTGAGTCATTCTCTCAAGAAGGTAGCATTTTAAATTTGCAGAGAAAGGAGAGCTTATGTTACAAATTACTTCACATGTAAAGATAAACTCAGGTGGGTTACAGATATAAACATAAGAATCATGTTTGCATGTGTGGCTGTATACAGGTGTGTGTATATGTCTGTGTGTGTATATGTCTACGTATGTATATACAGATGTGTGTATATGTCTATGTATATATAGGTGTGTGTATATGCGTGTGTATACATCTATGTATGTGTATACAGGTGTGTGTATATGTATATGTGTGTATTACAGGTATGCATATGTACATGCGTATATATGTACATGAATTTGCATATATGAATATTTTACAATCTTAAGTTGGAGAAGGCATATCCCAACCATATTCCACAGTGAGAAACTACAAAATATTGGCATATTTTAATTCATAAAACTAAAAACATATTCATGGCAAAGGTCAACAAATGAACAAACTGAAACTACTGTCACCAAAGTAAGACAATCATGAAAACCTGGGGAAATGCCCCATGATACAGGTGACACGTGCTCACATTCCTAATACAAAGAGACACCTTGCAAATCAGTCAGGAAGAGATGAGCACTGTGGTCATATAAACAGGCAGAGACCAGAAAAGGCGTTCACATACCTCATCAGTGACTGAAAGTCTGGGAGAGCTTTAGCATTCCACTGAAAATAAAAATCTGAACTCCTGTTCTAAAGTGTAAAGGTGCAGAAATGCAGTGGTGTTCACTAGTTCCTGCGCATCACTGTAGGAAGCCCCTCACGCCCGTCAGAGGGATCTGGTCCCACAGGTGGATCCACCTGTAAAAGTCACACAGGTAAGATGCTCTTCATTGTTACATCGTCAGTAACAGCAAAAGTCACAGTAACCCAGAGTCCACCGTGATAGTACTGACTGAACAAGAGATATATGCAAGTATTGAAATAGTAGAATATTATTAATAAGATGTACTAGAATATTAGGCAGCTATAAAAATGAGAAACACTTCTGTGTGCTAATTGTGGAGCAATCCAGATTACATCAACTTTAAAAAGCAAAGTACAGGACATTATTGTATAGCTGCCACTTTTTAAAAAAACATGAGAGACTGAGAATCTTTTTATGTTTATTGTAATTACAGATCCTCTCTTTTTTAAATTTGTTCATGTGTTTGATGGCTGTGCTGGGTCTTCACTGCTGCATGGACTCTCTCCTAGCTGTGGAGAGCAGGGGCTGCTCTTCGTCACAGTGCCCGGGCTTCTCTTGTCGGGGGACACAGGCTCCAGGGGCACGGGCTTCAGGAGTCATGGCCCCTGGGCTCAGCTGATGCAGTTCCCGGGCTCTGGAGCTCAGGCTCACCTGTTCTGCAGCCTGTGGGATTGAACCTGTGTCTTCTGCCTTGGCAGGTGGACTCCTCCACTGAGCCACCTGGGAAGACCCGATGCTGCCACTTTTATATGATAAAATGGGAAAATAAGACTAAAACGCATGTCAGATTATAATACATAAAGAGGCAATAGAAGAATAAGATGCTAATAAAAATGTTTACATCTAAGGAGCGAGGAGGAAGTAGGTGCGACAGGGATAGACAGGACATCTCAATATGCCTCTTTTTATATATGATGTTGACCTTCATTCGTGAAAACGTGCCATCTATTCAGAAATATCAGAACTTAAATATGCAATGAAAGAAAGTAAAACCCACTCTAGAGAGACAGAGCAGCCAAGAGAAGATTTAGAGATGACTGATGACAGAACCATCAGAGAGAACTTTAAAATAATGGATTGATGCCATAAAGATCGAAGGGAAAACGTGGAGTACTCAGAGACACCAAAGGGAAATTGGCAGAGAGAGAAAGTGTAAGAAAGAGGGAGGTGGAAACGCTGCAGGTGCAAACCATGGTGTGAGGAGCAGAGGCTTAGTTGCTGAGCTCATCAGTAGATGCAGCACAACTGCGTGATGGCCAGTGAACTTGAAGATAGTCCACGGGAATCACCACACACACAAAAATGTAGGAAATAAAAGCAGGAAAGAGCATTCAGGAGCTGTGGGCAAACATTAAATTGTCAAATGCACTGAATCCCAGGAGGAAAAGAGAAGGGGGAACAGTCTACGGAAGAAGCATTTGAAGATGTAACACCCAAGGGTTCTGAAAGCAGTGAAGTATGGTAAATCACAGATT